TCCAGATATCTTTTAAATGTTGTAATTGTACCAACCTCCACCACTTCCTCAAGCAGATCATTCCGTACTCATTCCATAATTTTTTCCTGAAGAAGGGTCTAGGCCTGAAACGTCAGCCTTCCTGCTCCTCTGATGCTGCTTGGCCTGCTGTGTTCATCCATGTCTACATCTTGTTATCTTGATTTCTTCCTCTACATTTGCCTGTAAAGCAAATGGCATTCCGCGAGTCTTGCAGAATCATGGAATTGCTTCCTGGTCAACATGTAAGATAACCTTGTCTCCTTTGATAGTCCTTAGACCTTGTTTAAAAAGTCTGGCTATCTAATTAGGACTGCTCTCAGGGAGCCATTTTCGAATTGAAAAATGTTGAGCCAATCAAGGTGAATCATTTTCAACCAATTCCATCCATCAAGCTTGGGCCTAAGCCTTTTAGTACAATCAGTGGCAACTGTAACAACTGCTTCTCCTAGGAGACCAGAATCAAAGTCGTACTCTTAACCTGTAACTGTTTCCCTGTATACATTGTTTGGCTGCGATCTTGCACAAATGTAAGGATTGGAGCCAGAGTACTGTTGTTAAAAACTGGTTCTGCAATAACTGATGCAGCTACGCCGGTATCAACTTCCATTAAAATTGGGTGACCATTTAATCAGACATCTATTTTGTTTGGGTTTGGATGTTGCTCGGCAATGTAACTGTTCCAAACCACCTGTAGGTGGACTTTCCATAGTGTGCACTTTCCTGGATACCAATTCTCTTACTCAAATCAGGCCTCACAGGACTCCTTTGCTGTCTGGAGTCCGCATACCAGCAGCAACTAAAATGGCTTGCCAGCCCGGACCATGAAGAACATTTTAGCTATTTGGCCAAGGCTTAGCTTTGTTTTGCAGTTTTGCTGCGGGCTGACGTAGGGTACCTTTGCTCAGGGTATGTCCTGCATGAGGTTCTGCAATTGCCGACACTCAAGTCATGTTCCCCAAGCTCAGTTGGACAGTTGAGGGTGTCCACTTCCATTGGGACACCCTGTAGCTCACATGCTCTACTTGCCGCATTTTCTAATGATAAAGCCAGTTATAGTGTCTGTTTGACGTGCAGTTGTGCTTTTGCATCATTAATCCCACATACCAAATATTCTCTCAGTATCTCATTCAGATGTCTCTGTCAGTCTTATCAACCTCTTCAAAAATCACAATGCGGATTCCCCTCGTTCTCCAGCTGCTGAATAAAACTGTTAGCACCTCCGAATTAGAGATTTGGGGTTGTAATATTCTTAATTAAATCCATCAACTCTTGAAAGGCTTTAGTACCTGGTGCCTCAGGGAATGTTAGGCTCCTGATAACAAAAGATGCAGCGGGTCTGCAAGCATTCAGGAGAAAGATGTGTTGCTTTTCATCTGCCCTAGTGTCATTCACCCAGAAACATTCTTTCCACATACTGGGGCCAATCTTTGGCAACAGGATCAAACGAGTCAAGCTTCCCAAATAAAGGCATGATGCCAGAAATGCTTATCCCAACTCCAAGATGGCTGCTGCAAATGAATGTTCTTCAGGAGTGTATCCTTCAGGGGTTTTCTCTTGTCACCACTGAAATAACTGCACCAAGGCCAGTTTCCCAGCACCAAATCACCCTTTAAATACATGTGCACAAAAAATGGACTCCGGCCAACTAACTCAGAGCCAGTCCCTACAGTGAGGAGCCTCTCTGACATTCATGTTTAGATCTGTCAGCCAGGGCTCCCTGATTGGCCCAAGTTAACAGCACCAATCAGGTATCTCATATTCAATGGATCCACCTGGCCAACGTCGTTCCAATCACTACAGTCATGATTGGCATTATGCTCATTCGAAGTGCTGGTACAGACATAATGGGCCGAATGACTTACTTCTGGGCTATAACACTTGTGAATTTGTGATAGTCTAACACCAAATACTTATAACTACTTGAAGCTGTGAATCAAATCATGAACTGACAGCATCTCATTGGAAGGTTAGGCTGTGAATTCAGTCATGTAGCAAAAATCCTATTATGATTGTTTTGTTTTGACATGAGACTGAAGGCTGAGTGAAATAGCAAATACCTTTCAAAATAAAACTTCAGATATTTTGTTTTTTTATTTTAAGGCCAAGTGATTTAAATGCCTTGACAGATTAATAATTCATTCATAACTACTTTTAATAATTCCAAAATGCACTTTACCTGACCGAAAGGTTTCCATGGACCGATTCAAAAGGATCCCTTACTCTGCAAAGAACACTGCTAAATTAGATCATCTCTTGAAAAATGAAAAGCCCAACGTTTTGGATATGCCTCAAATGAAAATTGGATCTGATTGTAGGGAGCTGCACTTTTACATGTGCAACCTGTGCCATGCTGTTTCCTTATGTGAAAACTTAGCCTGTGTCTCAATGTCATGTTTTGTTTAATGAATTTACCTTTGAAGCATCTTTAATGAGTCTATATAAACCCACATTGTTGTTGTTATTGCTCCTGCCATTTACTTAGACTATTGATACTTGAAGTTACAAGTCTGGATTTTGGTGAATGATACATCTGATCTGTCCAGGACTGAAGCGACTGTACTGTTGAAAGAAATGCCAACTGTAATTATTACCATAGCTCAGTTGAAGATCAGTTGAGCCAATGTTCGTATGGGCTGCAGGAAGGCACAGTGGTTCGCACAGCTGCCTCACAGCATCAGGCACCCTAGTTTGATTCTAGCCATGGGCAACTGTGTGGAGTTTGCCCATTCTCCCCCTACTGTCTGGGGTTTCAGCCAGATGCTCCTGTTTCTTTCCACAGTCCAAAGGGTTAGGTGGATTGGCCACATTAAATTGCCCTGAACTATCTAGAGAAGTGCAGACTAGATGGATTAGCCATGGTAAATGCAGGGTTATGGGGGTGGGAAGGTGTGGGTCTGGCAAGGTCAGTGCCGACCAGATGGGCTGAATGGCCTCTACCTGCACCTTAGGTATTCTATAAATTTAGTTATGCAAGAGAAAATAATTTTTTCTATCTAAAATTAACAGTATTAATATTTAATCTTTACACTGCTGCTTCTAAGTCTTTCTGTATGGAAACCTTTGATAATGGTCACTTAATGGTTAGAAAGGAATATGAATGTCAAATGCTTTGAATGATATAACAAATATTGTAAATTATTAACAAAGTATTGCCAAAGGAAATCCTGATCTATATTAATGTATAGGTCAGGATTCATTTAAAACTGGTTCAACAACAGTTCCATGAACAAGTGACCAATCCGTGGTCTGGAGGCAGTGGAAGTAGCTAATATTGATTAATTCAAATGAACGTAGATTTCTGTCAGAAAGTAATGATTTAGAATACAGTATAATGTATGATTTGAGACATAATCGGTGGCAAGTGCTTGGTTGGGAGAATTGACTGTGGGTCTCATGTTCCCAAAGCCTTTCAGGGTTTTCCCTTGTCATGTCTTGTCTGGGTCAGTGATAGGCTAATTGAGTTTCATACCTGCGAATCATCAACAGCTCCTTTCTCTTTGCACGTGCAACTCCAAAATTGGTAGAATCTCAAAGAGATGGATCTTAATTTTTTTCCGACCAGGAATTCTTGTGTTCCACAGCACCACTTGAGCAAAAGGATATACTACTTTCCAAGGATGCCCTTTATTGTAGGTAAAAATAATGGTTAGGTAATTAAAAAGAAAAGGAAGTGTCCAGTTGTCATGTATTGAGCAATAGACGAGAAATAAGATCTTGTTAGGCAACACACAATATGGTTGAGAATTATTGGTTTAAGTGACTCATCTTAGTGTTTGAAAGAATATTTTCATTCTAAGTTGGAATCCAGCTTTGGAGTTATGAGGAGTGAAACCCTCTGTTGATCCAGGTGTCTTGTTTCCCAGTAAAATACAACCCTATACTCAATAAAATGTCAAATACTCCACTACTTAGTACAAACTGGGACCTAAGTAATTTGCCTCATTGAAAAGTAGTAGGTCATGAATTTTCTGATGCAATGGTAGTGTCCCTAACACTGGGATAGAAGATCTGAATTCAAGTCAAATTCAAATTCAATTGATGATAGTATAAGGTAGCGGTGGAGATTAGATAGACCTTAGGTTTAGGGTAAAAGTTCGGCACAACATCGTGGGCCGAAGGGCCTGTACTGTGCTGTACTGTTCTATGTCCTATGTTCTAAGTCCCACTAGCTGTGATGGTGTGTCATAACATAGCCAAACAGGTTGAAGTAAAAATAGAGGAGGTAGTCACTCACAGTACATTGCAAAATAGTTGCTTCCCCCGCACCAAATCTATAGCCCATGTGGAATCAGTTGAAAGAACAACAGAAAGCTTTCCCTAAGTAAAATATTATAAACACTGGAAATCATATTGAAACTGAGAGGTTAGAAGTACAAATCAGGTCAGACAGCATCTGTGGGGGGGCTAATGCTTCAAGTCACTGACCTCTCATCAAAACACTAAGCTTGCCATGTCTGCACTGGGAACCCAGACTGGAAATTGTTCACCAGTTTTACAAATGTTGGATGTCAAATCAAGGGAGAAAGCTGTAACATGGAGAAAGGAAAACTATGGTTCAGGCCCCAGCAGCAGCAAATTTTCAATACACATACAGGGTAAGCCCGTAATTGTGAAGGAATGATTTAACGTAAGGATGTAAATAAGTAAAGGTGCTGTAAGGAAATATTTTCATTTTACAGAAACGTCAATCAAAAAGGAAAAGCATTTGCTGCTGTTCGGATTGATGATCACCTCCAGCAATTCTTCTAGCTTCTGCTCATCAACAGCTGTCCCATCATCTGTTTCTTTCTTCCTTTCTTAGAAAGAGACAAATACACATTCAGACATTTACAGACAGACAGAGGGAGGGAGAGAGAGAATAAAACGCAGACATGGAGAGAGGGGGAGAGAGAAACACAAATAGGCACACATTTACAGGCAGAATGCAAGAGATATACAAATAAATATCTAAACATTATAATTTCAAAGACTGAAAGGGAGAAGCAAAATTGTGAGAGACGCATAGATTTAACAGTTTAACAGAGTGTGTGAAAGAACAAGAGAGAAAGAGAGGCACACAGACACATTAACTCATTTATTTACATGTGCACATTGTGCTCATTTGTTAGTTTCTATCGTAACTGAACTTGCAGAATTCTGCCTTGCTTCTTGGACCAGAGCAAATGGAACACGGTAAGTGTACAGTACTGATCAGAACAAATTGGTGTCTCACTACAAACTATGTCGTTTCTTTAATTAAATCATAATTAAATAGTGCAAAACTATAATTTTAAGGTACTGTCGCTGTTCATAAACAAACTGACAAATGTCATGAAGAGACAAGAACAGGATAAGGCCATTCAGTCACTTGAATCTTTTACAAAGGAACAAAAAGAGCTCATTAAACCTTTTACAAAGAAACTGGAAGAGATGATTCAGTCCAATTCAATCAAATCATGTCTGACCTATTCCTCACCTCCATTTATCTAGCTTTGTTTCATACTTTATTGCCTTGCCTAACAAAAATCTTTCAGTCTGAACCTTGAAAGCTCTAATTATCCCATAGATTTTTACAGGAGTAATTTTCAGACATCCATTCTGCATTTAAAAAAAATACATTCTCTCTATTCTCCCTCAAATGACCTGTCTCTAATATTAAAATAATACTGCCTAGTTCTTGATTTCCCTGACAAAAGGAGATATTCTTGTATATCTACCATATCGAATCATTCAATATTTTAGATAGTTCACATCTGATCACCACTCAGGTTATTGCATACAAGAAAATACAAGGTAACATCATTTTGTAATCAAGCGTCCTTGAGATAAAGGCCAAAATTCCATTAATCTTAGTGATTACTTTTTTGTATTTGGTTTTGTATGATTCTATACAGTACTTGGACTCCCAAGGTGGACTTTGTTCCTGTAACTCTTAATTTTCCACTGGTCAGAAATAGTTTTGATTTCCTTAACTCCACATTAAATACCAACATGTTCACACACTCACTTAACCCTTATGTTCCTTTGCCATGATTGACATTCCATTTACAAGACAGGGATAAAACAAACATGGCTAACAAAGGAAGTTAAGGAGCACATTGATTTGAAAGAATAAGCATACAAGGAGGCAAAAATTCGTGATAGCCAAGAAGACTGGGATAAATTCAGAATCCATCAAAGGAGGACTAAAAAGTCTAAAGAGAGAAAATAAACTACAAGGGCAAACTAGCAATGAATATTAAAACCGACAATTAGAAATTCTTTAAATATTTTTTAAAAAAAGGGAGGTTAAAGTGAATGTCGGCCTCTTAGTAAATGAATCTAGGAAGACAGTTATGTGCAACAAGCAATGCAGATATTTTGCATTAGTCTTTACAGTGGAAGATACTTAAAACATCCCGTTAATATTAAAAAATACAGGGGAGGAATTAAAACCATAACTAGATAAGTAGTATGGGAGAAACTAATGGGACTAATGGCAGATATCCCCCCAAGACCTGATGGCTTGCATCCTAGGATCCTAAAAGAAGTAGCTACAGAAATAGTGGATGCATTGGTTATAATTTTCTAAAACTTGCTGGATTCTGAGAAGTACCAGAGGATTGGAAAACTAACAATGTGACACCCCTATTCAAAAAGGGAGTGAGGCAAAAAAGCAGGTAACTATAGGCCAATCAGCCAAACACCTGTTGTTGGGAAAGTATGGGAATCAATTATTAAAGCATGTAATAACAGAACATTTGGAAAATCATAACCTAATCAAGCAGAGAGGGATGCAAGCAGTTTACAGAGAGATAACTATAGCTGAATTGCCTCTAATGAAATGATATCTTTCCTAAAATAAGCAAAGCTGCTGACAGTACTCCAGGTGTGGTCTCACCAGTACTTCATAGATCATAGAATCCCTACAGTGTGGAAACAGGCCCTTCAGCCCAACAAGTCCACACCAACCCTTGGAGCATCCCACCCAGACCCTTCCCTATAAAACCCACCTAAGCTACACATCCCTGAAAACTACAACAACTTAGCATGGCCAATCCACCTAACCTACACATTTTTGGACTGAGGGAGGAAACCCATGCAGACAAAGGGAGAATATGCAAACTCCACACAGTCAGTTGCCTGAGGGTGGAATTGAACCCAGGTCCCTTGTGCTGTGAAGCAGCAGTGCTAACCACTGAGCCACTGTGGTGCCCCAAATCATAAGACTACAATTGAACCCAGGTCAACTGCTTGGAAGGCAGCTATGCTCACCACTATACCAATATCTTTGTAGAGTCACAGTAAGACTTCCTTACTCTTATACTTAAACTCCCTTGAAATAAGGGCCAACATTCCATTAGCCTTCTTGATTACCTGTTGCACCTTTGTGCAAGCTTTCTGCATTTTGTGCACAAATATCCCGAAGTCTCTTTCTTTTGCAGCTTCTGTCCATTTAAATTTTACCCATTCTTTTGTTCTCTCCTCCAACATTCCCACATTGTATTTGCCACCTTATTGCTCACTTACATAGCCTATCAATAGCTCTCTGTAAACTGTTTGTATCCCTCTCACAACCTTCCTTTCCACCTATTTTTGTGTGCATATTTGGCTACAGCACATTTACTTCCTTCCTCCGAGTTATGAACATATATTGTATAAGTTATGGTCCCAACACTGATCCCTGTGGAATTCTAATTGTCATGGGTTGCCAACCTGAAAAAGAACACCTTATCCCCACTTGCTGGTTTCTGACATTGAGCTAATTCTCTATCCATGCCAATTCAATACCTCCAACACTGTGCTCTTATCTTATGATTTAATCTTTTGAGAGGTATCTTGTTGAACACCTTCTGAAAGTCCAAGTATGGTACTGTAGAGGTTTCCTTCTATCCACTGTGGCAGGTCCAACTTGCAGGTGGTCAACATGACATAGTCCAACTTCTAAAGTAACATTCACGGGATAGAGTTTTAACCTGTGTGGTCATGTAAATCAAGTGGCAATACATTAGTCACCTACTTTGAATGTGTAGCCATTGATCTTGGAGTAATGTGTGTGTCACACAAGTGCCAGGCAATGACAGGAGAGAATCTAACCACAATCCTTTGAAATTCAATGGCATTACGATCGCTGAATTCCCCAATACAACTTCATGGGAATTGCCTTTGATGAGAAAATGAACTGGACCAACGATATAAATGGAGGTTGGTTGGCTCGCCAAGCTGGTTTGTTGTTCCGCAGACGTTTCATCACCATGCTTGGTAACATCTTTAGTGGAGCCTCTGATGAAGCGTCGGTGTGTTTTCCTGCCTGGTTTTTAAACTCTGGGGTCCGATGCGATGAATTGCCTCACTTCCGGGTTTCCTCCGTAGTGGAATGTATATGGGGTCGAGTTCAATGTGTTTATTAATAGCATGATTCGTGGAGTGCCTTGCTTCCAGAAATTCTCGTGCTTGTCTCTGCCTAGCCTGTCCCAGGATCTTGGTGTTGTCCCAGTCGAAGTCGTGGTTCTCCTTGTCCATGTGGATTGAGATGAGAGAGTATTGGTTGTGTCTTTTTGTAACTCACTCATCTCAATCCACATGGACAAGGAGAACCACGACTTTGACTGGGACAACACCAAGATCCTGGGACAGGCTAAGCAGAGACAAGCACGAGAATTCCTGGAAGCATGGCACTCCGTGAAGGATGCTATTAATAAACACATTGAACTCGACCTCATATACATTCCACTACGGAGGAAACCCGGAAGTGAGGCAATCCATCGCAACGGACCCCAGAGTTTAAAAACCAGGCAGGAAAACACACTGACGCTTCATCAGAGGCTGCACTGATGATGTTACCAAGCACGGTAACGAAACTTCTGCGGAACAACAAACCAGCTCGGCGAGCCAACCAACCTCAACACCCACAACCTGAGCTACAGATCTACTCCAAAACCTTAGACAACCATATGAATACTGTGGCTACAACAGCAAGTCAGACTAGGAATACTGTGGTGAGTAACTCACCTCCAGACTCCCCAAAGTCTTTCCACCATCTATAAGATATAAGTCAGAAGTATGATGGAATACTCCTCACTTGCTTGGATGAGTGCAGTTCCAGTGACGCTCAAGACATTTGGCAGCAACCTGGGAAAATTAGCCCACTTGATTAGCATCACATCCACAAACATTCAGTCTCTCCACCACTGAAACTCGGTACCAGCAATGTGTACCAATAAATGCTGCCTAGCAAGCAACATCCTCATCCTGTGAATGAATAAAGAAAAAAGTCAACACAGACACCCCAAAGAGCATCCTATCCAGACCTACCTCCCTACCTAGTAACCTTGTATTTCTCATGGCTAATCCACCAAGTCTGCACATCACAGGACACTATGGGAAATTTAGCATGGCCAATCCACCTGACCTGCACATCTTTGGACTGTGGGAGGAAACCGGAGCAACCCGGAGGAAACCCATGTACCAGAGGGAGAATGTGCAAATTCCACACAGATGGTCACCCAAGGGTGGTATCAAACCTGGGTCTTTGGTGCTGTGAGACAGCAGTGCTCATCACTGAGCCACCACGGCAGTACTCCTGTCTCTGGGAAGGCTAAAATACCATTTGCCTTCTTCACCAGCTGTTGCACCTGCATGTTTGTTTTCAGTGAGTCTCATTTATTGAAATCTTTATTACTATAATCTGTGCACATGTGCAGGACAGCCAACCATGTTGCAAAAAATTTGGCTGTTGCTGTTTTTCTCTGAGAAGCCATTCTGCTCCCCACCCAGTAGTATCCAAAATGGCATTTCTTTTTTGCAGGGCGCTTTTACACAGACTACCTTGTCCTCTTCCTCTGCCTGGTGGTCATCCATTCTCTAATTGCCTGTACAGTATTAGTCCTCAAAGTGACCACCTCTCTGTATGTGCTATAGTTTCAGCCTCACAGATGCTCCACAGTATTCTCAGCTGCTGCTCCAGCTCCAAAATTCAGGCTTTCAGGCTTCCAGGAACTGCAGCTGGAGACACTTCCTGTTTGCGTTCTGGCTCTAGGCACTGGAACTATGCCCATTCCACATTAACTCTAGGGCCCACCTTCTCTGGACTATTATACTATATTTTGGGTTATTAGCTTGGAAGGACTAAAGACCTTACAAACGATAAGTAATAATGACATGGTGTAAATTCTCACTAAAACCTATTCATTCCATCACTCTTATCCTGAATTATTTTTTGATATCATTTTTCCCCAGAGTGTTTCAGGAAGCACTTCCTATTGGACACATGGGAACAACACCATTACAAGAGTCCAAGCTCTTTCTCATCCTTGCTTGGAAATAAAACACCTCTCCCTCATTGTTGCTGGGTCAAAATCCTGGAACTCTCTCCCTAATGTGATTGTGGGTCTACTTGCAGCAAATGGACTGCAGTGATTCAGGAAAGCAGCTCACTATCACCTTCTCAAGGGTGGGTAGTATACTGGCTCAGCCAGTGACATCCATACCCTGTGAATGGTTAGAAAATAAGATATACTGGCCAGTGAATGGTTGTATCTCAATCTAATACCACTAAACACCATTTGGTCATAATTTATTGGTGAGTGTACCAGCTTTAATTTAAACATTGATGTGAATATTTCTTTTCATTTCAAACAGAGAGCCCCAATCCCAGCTCCCCTCCGTATTCTGAACCCCAGACTCTCATTCGATCTCAGCAAACAGTGCAAACTGGCAGCACTGCTGTGTGCCCAACATTTCAGAACATCAAAGGCCCAGTAAATGTTACAGTGCAGACAGCCAGCAGCCACAGCGGTGAGTACACCTGTCTACCACGTCAAGGATCCTTTTTTCAATGTACTGTTCATCACCTATGGGCCAGCATAAAGCAATTTATAAAACTGTTACAAATTATAAATGGAAGCGGGCCCTTGTGGTACAGTAGTAGTGTCCCTATCTCTGAGACAAGAGGCCTAATTTCAAGTTCCAGCTGCTCCAGAGGTGTGTGCTAGTATCTCTGAACAGGTTGATTTGAAAATAATCTATATTATGTACGTAAGATAGCCATTAAAATGCCACCCAAAATATATGACAAGTATTCCTCCTTTTCCACTTTCCCAGTTCTTACTGATAGATCACAACATTTTCAAGCCTTAAAATGGGTAAGCACTATTGAAGAAATGTGTTTAGATCTGGAATGCACTGCCTGGGAGGGTGTTTGAGACACAAAACATCAAACATTTAAAAAGTACTTGAATGAGGACTCGGATGAGGTGCTTCTTGAATCTCAAGATATTCCACAATCATATTAAGTGGAGGCAAATAACTAAAGAAAGAGTAGGGTACCATTATGGACCAACAGTGAAATCACAGAGCCAGAGGATGTTGGTAGAGTATTAAAGTAGTACTGCACGTCTGACTTCACGATGAAGAAGGAAGGTGGATGTTAAGAATTTGAGAAAATGACTGAAGTTCTTGAGCAGATAGATTTGATTTGATTTGGTACTGTCACATGAACCGAGGTACACTGAAAAGTTTTGTTTTACGTGCCGCGCAGGCAGATCATTACATACAAAATGTACTAGGGTAATAGAACAAAGCTAAGAATACAATATTACAGCTGCAGAGAAGGTGCACAAAGAGTGAGATCAACATTAAATTTAAAATTTGAGAAGTCCATTCAGAAGTCTAATATCAGTGGGGAAGAAGCTGTTCTTGAATCTGTTGTATGTGTGTTTAAACTTTTGTATCTTCTGCCTGAGGGAAGAGGTTGGATGAAATTATAACTGGGGGAGGAGGAGTCCTTGATTATGTTGGCTGCCTTCCCGAGGCAGTGAGAAGTACAGATGGAGTCAATGGATGGAAGGTTGGCTTGCGTGATGGACTGGGCTGTGTCACAACTCTCTAATTTCTTATGGTCATGGGCAGAGCAGTTGCCATACCAAGCCATGATGCATCTGGATAGAATGCTTTCTACGGTGCATAATAATTGTTAAGAGTCTTTATGGACATGTCAAATTTCCTGAGGTGTAGCACTTCCTGCGGTTGCAGGGAAAAGTGCCGGGTGAGGTGGGGCTGAAGGGGAGTGTGGAGCGGACAAGGGAGTCATGGAGAGAGTGGTCCCTCCGGAAAGCAGATAAGGGTGGGGAGGGAAAAATGTCTTTGGTGGTGGGTCGGATTGCAGATGGCGGAAGTGTTGGAGGATGATGCGTTGGATCCGGAGATACGCTCGGTTCGCACTAAACAACTGCACCGCCAAGTCGCAAACCATTTCAACACCCCTCCCATTCCACAGATGACATGTCCATCCTGGGCCTCCTGCAGTGCCACAACGATGCTACCCAAAGGTTGCAGGAACAGCAACTCATATTCCGCTTGGGAACCCTGCAGTCCGATGGTATCAATGTGAACTTCACAAGCTTCAAAATCTCCCCTCTCCCTACCGCATCCCAAAACCAGCCCAGCTCGTCCCTGCCTCCTTAACCTGTCCTTCCTCCCACCTATCCCCTCCTCCCACCTCAAGCCCCACCCCCATCTCCTACCTACTAACCTCATCCCGCCCCCTTGACCTGTCCATCCTCCCTGGACTGACCTATCTCCTCCCTACCTCCCCACCTACACTCACCTTTCCTGACTCCATCCCCGCCTCTTTGACCTGTCTGTCTCCTCTCCACCTTTCTTCTCCTCTATCCATCTTCTATCCGCCTCCCCCTATCTCCCTCTTTATTTCAGAACCCCCTTCCCCTCCCCCATTTCTGAAGAAGGGTCTAGGCCCGAAACGTCAGCCTTCCTGCTCCTCTGATGCTGCTTGGCCTGTTGTGTTCATCCAGCTCTACACCTTGTTATCTCAGATTCTCCAGCATCTGCAATTCCTACTATCTCTGGAACAAATTTCCTTAGCCTCCTGAGCAAGTAGAGGTGTTGTTGTGCTTTCTTGACTGTCACATCAACATGGGTGGACCAGGACAAATTTTTGGTGATCATCACTCCTAGGAACTTTACACTTTTGACCATCTTCACTTCAGTTCAATTGATATAGACAGGGGTGTGCCCTTCACCTTGCTTCCTGAAATCAATGACCAACTCTTGTTTTGCTGACATTGAGGCAGCGATTGTTATCTTGGCAATGTGCCACCAAGCACTCTATCTCTTTCCTATATTCTGATGTCACTGTTTGAGATCCAGCCTACAATGGTCATGTCATCCGTGATTGTGTAGATGGAGTTAGGACAAAATTTGGCCGCACAGTTATGAGTGTGCAGAGAGTACAATAAAGGGGCTGAGTATGCAATCTTGCAGAGTGCTGGTGTTGAGGACTACCATGGAGGAGGTGTTGTTGCCTATTCTCACTGACTGAGGTCTGTGGGTTGGGAAGTTCAGGATCCAGTTGTAGACGGTGGAGCAGAGACCGAGGTCTCGGACTTTGGAGATTAGTTTGATTAAAATTATGATGGTCAAGACGGAGCTGTATTTAGATGAGTTGAGGGTATTGATTAACACATGGGAATGTGATATCATTGCTATCACAGAGATATGGTTGAGGGAGGGACAGGATTATCAGATCAGTATTCTGGAGTAAATAATCTTTAAGATGATAGGGGTGCAAAAAAGGAGATGATATCACAATAATGATCAAGGAATCAGTTACTGCAGGAATGATATCTTAGAAAGTGCCTCAAATGGTGCCATACAGGTAGAACTTAAAAACAAAATTGAGCAATCTCTTTTCTCAATTACTTTTCTCAAGTATCAGAAATAAAGCAGATGAACTTAGAGCATGGGTCGGTACTTGGAACTATGATGTTGTGGCCATTACAGAAACTTGGGTAACTCAGGGAGAGGAATGGTTGTTGGAAGTTCCAGGAATTAGATGCTTTAAAAGAAATAGGGAGAGTGGAAAAAGAGGTGGGGGAGTGGCATTGCTAATGAGGGCGAGTATAGCAGCTACTGAAAGGCTGTTCGAGAATGATATGTCTACAGAGTCAGTTTGGCTTGAGGTCAGGAACAAGAAAGGAGCAGTCACTTTGTTGAGGGTTTCTACAGACCCCCTAATAGAAGTGGAGGAGCGGATTGGGAGGCAGATACTAGAAAGGTGCAGAAGTCACAGGATTGTAGTCATGGTGACTTCAACTTTCCAAATATTGATTGGAAACTTTTTAGTTGTAATAGTTTAGATGGAGTAGATTTTGTCCAGTGCATTCAGGAAGGATTCCTGACACAGTATCTAGATAGACCAACATGAGGAGAGGCCACTTTGGATTTGGTGCTTGGCAATGAACCGGGCCAAGTGTTAGACCTGTTGGTAGGAGAGCATTTTAGCGATCATAACTCACTTTCTTTCATGATAGTCATGGAAAAGGATAGGTACATACGGCAGGGTAAAGTTTACAATTGGGAGAAGGGTAATTACAATTCAGTTAGGCAAGAACTGGGTAACATAAATTGGGAACAGATGTTGTCAGGGAAGAGCACCACAGAAATGTGGAGATTGTTTAAGGAATGCATATTGCATGTGCTCGATATGTTTGTCCCTAGCAGGCAGAGAAGGTGCGGTCGATGAGGGAGACATGGTTCTCGAGAGAGGTCGAACGACTGGCTAAGAGGAAGAAGGAGGCTTATGTAAGGTTTAGGAAAAGAGGAACGCAAAAGGCTCCAGAGGGATACAAGTAAGCCAGGAAGGAGCTGAAGAAAGGGTTTAGGAGAGCTATAAGGGGACATGAGAAAACCTTGGCGGATTGGATCAAGGAAAACTCCAAGGCTTTTTACACGTATGTGCAGAACAAGAGAATGACCAGAGAAAGGGTAGGGCCAATCAAGGATTATAACGGGAATTTGTGCACAGAGCCTAAAGAGATAGGAGAGGTCCTTATTGAATACTTTTCTTCAGTATTCACAACTGAGAGGGACCTAGTTGTAGAGGAGGACGTTGTGAAACAGGCAGGTAGGCTAGAGGAGGTTGATGTTATTAAAGAAGATGTACGAGGAATTCTGAGGAAGTTGAAGATAGATAAGTCACCCAGACCCGATGGGATTTATCCAAGGATTCTATGGGAAGCGAGGGATGAGATCGCAGGGCCGTTGGCGATGATCTTTTCGTCCTCACTGTCCATGAGTATAGCGCCGGAAGATTGGAAAGGGGCAAACGTCATTCCCTTGTTCAAAAAAAGGGAACAGGGATAATCCCGGAAATTACAGGCCAGTTAGTCTTACGTCAGTGGCGGGCAAATTATTGGAAAGGGCTCTGAGAGATAGGATTTATGATCACTTGGAAAGGCACAGTTTGATTTGTGATAGTCAGCATGGATTTGTGAGGGGTAGATCATGCCTCACAAACCTTATTGAATTTTTGAAGAGGTGACCAAACACGTGAATGATGGTGGAGCAGCGGATGTGGTATAAATGGATTTAAGTAAGGCGTTTGATAAGGTTCCCCATGGTAGCCTCATGCAGAAGGTAAGGAGGCATGGGATAGGGGGAAATGTGGCAGATTGGATTCAGAATTGGCTGACCCTTAGAAGACAAAGGGTGGTAGTGGACGGAAAATATTCAACATGGTGCTCAGTTACGAGTGGTGTACCACAAGGGTCTGTTCTGGGTCCACTTCTATTTGTGATTTTTGTAAATGATTTGGATGATGGAGTGGAAGGGTGGATTAGCAAGTTCGCGGATGATACGAAGGTGGATCACGTTGTGGACAGTGTGGAGGGCTGTTCTTGGTTACAAAGGGACATTGATAGAATGCAGAGCTGGGCTGAGAAGTGGCAGATGGAGATCAACCCTGAAAAGTGTGAGGTGATTCATTTTGGAAGGACAAA